ACACCGCCCCCAGCCAAGGGGGGAAGGATTTGAGGGATGGACCAACAGCCACAACAGAGCTTCTGTTAGGCGACACACTCTGGCCAACAGGAAGCTAGCCAGCCCTTTCACCCGCTGGTCAGTAAGATGTCAGCAGGAGAAAAACTCACCTTGATCTGGCTCCACCTCCTCCGCCACTTTTCTTGTTTGGCCACGCCTACTTCCTGCCTCAAAGAGGAGATGGGAGGAGCATTTGGTGGCTAAGCAGACACAGCAAGCCCCCTTTTCTGCCTCATACCTCACCGCTCCTCACTCCTCCCTCTCTCCTTCCTCACTCCTCTTTGGATATTCTACCATTCCTCTCGCACCTACGCCGGGATTTTGCTTTTTTTCACCCTGGGGAGGTGAGTGAGAACACGGCAACAGAGATGGAGGGTTGAGAGAGCTGGAGTGACCGATTGAAAGAAAACTGACTCTGGGCATGGATCTACAGAGGATCTGTCCATCAATCAACCTCACTTCCTTCTCCGAGACCCTCCTCTTCCTCTCAGCGTGGAATCCTATTGGATTTGCTGCCACACACTCTCCCTACAGAAACGCCCACTATGTATTTAACAGTTGAATATTGTGCAAAACTGGCTAGCCATGACTATTTTGTTTTAAATTCATGATGTTATCGGTTTAATTTATCCTTGATTTGTTTGCACAATCGGGGTGCTGGTCTTATAAATGTATTTTTGCTTGGTTTATTTTAGGAGAATTTTAAGAGGTTTTAAGTATTGAAGCAGGGCGTAGTGTTTGCGTGCGAGTGTATAACTATATTTGTGAGTGCGGGTGTGTGTCTGCGTTTTAGTACAGAATGTATGTACGTACGAATGTGTGAGATAGCGTGTGTATCTACAAGGGGGGTCTTTCTCTCTAAAAGTATGCACCTTTTACAGATTGTATCTATTTATTTATTTATTTTTCCCAGAAGAGAAAAAAATGTGTGTTAGGATATGCGTTTCTTTCTGTGCGTGCCTGTGTCCGAGCGGTTACTTATGTATTCTAAAAAGCTGCTTTTAAGCCTAGACAGTAAATTAAGGTAGCATTACAAGTATGGTATTCTGTGAGGGTGTGTGGGTGTGTGTGTGTGTGAGTGATAATGGGCCTCCTTAACACAGGGTTACCATGGACAGGCATGCTTCCTTTGTGATTTCTTTAGCACGGTTTTTACTTTTTCGCCAAGCTGCACAGCCACTCTATCGTTGAAAATGACTCATTCAAAAACGTTTCTTTCTGTCTGTGTTTAGAGGCGGTCAGGTCTCCAGCAGGGTGGGAGGGACAGTTCAGTTTACAGTGGTAATGAATCTGGGCATTGCAGCTTGGCTAAAAGGGAACAGGCCTTTTGGCACTTGCTGCTGTTCTTCTTTATGGTGGATGGTGGCTCTGAATGGTAGAAGCACCAAATTCACTGCCACAGGGACGCCTCATTATGAAGTGGAGGGGGGGGTGACACCCTGATCGCTCGACTGTAAGACACCATTATCACATGATCTCCTCATTTCTCCAAATGAACTATTAGGGCTGGTTTACAGATGCTGCAAGACTTCTGAAACACATCTCTTTCTGTCTGCTCATGTCACAAAGCATTATGATTTAGTCTTATTGTCAGAAATAAAACAGCTTCCTTTTTGTACCCTGACAGCTCATTTACTGTCAGTTGATAAGATGTGATAATTGTTGGGTTAACGTGCTAAATGATTGGATCAGAAAACTACTGTCAGCTTGGAGAGACGTTTTGTCGTGGATTATCCCCTGGTGCGATTTTTGTGTTTTCATTTTCTTCTAATGGCTTTTAGGTAGCATGCTGACAACTTTTGACTGACCTTTCTCACTTATAGTTTCACATGAGATAAGGAATGACCACGGTACACAGTTCTGGACTTCAGTTCACAGGCCACAGGTCTCACCTTGGTAATGTATCTTCTCCAAAAAGAAACATTCCTTATGTCACACACATCCTTGGTGCCAACCGTCACATTTATTAAACAACATGAAGGTATTACAAACTGAAAATAATGAAGTTAATTTCTCTGAAATGTTATATTACAAGTTATACTATAGCCACTGAAATGTTGGAAACACTGTATTGATGTCACCACCACAATCCAGATGTCAGCTGGACACTAAGATACACCTCAGAGAGTAAGAAAGGCAACATTATCTTGAGTTAAAAACTGTACTTTTCAACTGAAATTGTCTTATAAGTTCTAAAGGAAATCAAATATTTTGCGATATATTATCTCTAAAAATCTCACTTAATCCCAGAGACATTGTCACTTGTCAATTTATTACCATTTGTTTTCTCTTTCATTTGCCGTTGAGGACTCATTCCTACATGTTGAGCAAAGCAGCTTATGGCAGGGAAGGGTACGTATGAACACACTGCCATACACTGCATCCTGTGCCAGTAACAGACTTCTGACTTTATTATGCAAACTAAATGTGAATGTTGGACGTGTTCTTAGTGGCAGTGCTATTGTTGTTTTGTGGTTCGGACCATACTGCAAACCCTGAGGAAGTCTTTGTTGTCAAAGGAATACCCCCCCCTGATACTCAGATTTCTCTTTTCCTTTCCTCCTTTAAAAAACATCTCCAGTATTTCTGTCTTCTGTGACTCGAAAATCACCACCTCATGGAAATAGTACTTTTATTCAAATAGCTTGGTACCATAAGCTCACATCAGTTTCAGTATGAGTCAAGCAAAACGTCTGAAAGTTAGAAAAGCAGGTCAAGCTTGTGTGTGCAGGGAATCATCTGTGTTTAGCATTCTAACTTTAAAGATACAAATAAATCACACTTTGTGTTTTGGTTTTTGATTACACACTTTGTCGGATCAGCCCTAGTAAAGTTGAATTATCAATTGAAAATATATAATTAGTAGTCGTCCTGGTTATTCATGCCGATTTACTTGATATACCTAATATCTATTAAATCATCAATGCTCCTAAATGTAACCAGCAGACACCTGTAGAGTAAGGTAGCACTTTGTGTGTGCGAGCTGCTACAGAGAACTGTCTGCTTCCATCTGCCAGTTCAACAGCTGTCAACGTGAAGGAAGTTATGCTAAGAGTATTGAATGACGATAGTATGAATCAATAATGATCAGAACCAGTCCAGGACCAGTGAAAGATAGGATGGGAGGATTTACATTTGTATGGCTTTACATAGTTATCCGTCACAATCATAAATGCTTTGAGGATTAAAGAACATAGATAATTGATGCATGCACTCAGAAACTACATTCACTCCAAATGCTTTACTTTTGTGTTCCTAGTAAAAGTCCACTTGCATATTATAGACACATTTAGAGTCCGCCTGCATATCAGAAGTGCCAAACGGGCTGTGATGCGTCTGTTTGAAGGCTGTTAGAGTTCACTGGAGGCCTGTGGTGTCCCGTGTTCATGTGTCCTTTAGGTCAGGGTGAGTTGTGCTGCAGTGTACGGATGAGTGGGTGTAATCCTGCATCCAACAAGATATGCAATAACTATGACTGTACACAAGGTTCCCCAAGTCAAATACTTTTGAAAGTTCAAAAAATATATATCTGTCTGTTTGTTACATTTTGAAGTAAACTCAGTGTTTCAACCTCACATACTTGAAAGCAGGTACATTTCAGTGCAGTTTAGTAAAGGAGTATTTGGATCTGCAGTCTAAAGTGTGTTTTGAGTCATGGAGG